AAAGATGACAGGTCTATGGCAGCGCTTGGTCTGCTCAAAGTAGATCCAGAGAGTAGACCTGGGGCTATTCCCACTTTACCTGCACTGCCATCATTCTGCAGAATCTGCACGCAGCAAAGTCTGAGCAGTCGGTCAATCGTGCAACCAGAGTTTGCTTTCCAGAACACCAGTTTGGTGGGCCCAGCCAGGCTGAAAAGCTTGTTTTGGAAAATCAATTCGGAGCGTCCATGATGTATAGTGATTTAGTAAATTAAAATTAGCATTTTGTTTTCACACGAAATGTAAAAATTAAAATGGCTTCAATTTGAGGGTGGGGCTGTTACTGCTGAAGTCCCTTTAAGTTACTGTTGTTAGCCATAAATTCCATAAGTAAGAGATTTTTCTGAAGTTCTTTCATCTTAGGATGTCCAACTGCGAAAACACGCTAACCGTGGTCAATGTAGTGTGTCGGCACCCATTTTGGCGATGTGTCAGCATCCCTTTTTGCCGTCACGCACGCTAACCATGGTCAGTGTAATGCGTCGGAACCCCCTTTTTTTCCTGCGATGTTTTCGTGCATTTGCTGCCATTTGGAGGACACATATATGTGCACTGTCCTCTTTTTCCCCTCGAATCACTGAATTTTGACAGATCAGGCAAGTTGGACACAACTTTCAAGCCCCCCCAAACTGTTGTCCCATGCTGCAACATTCGTCAGGCAGCACAGCTGAGGGTCGGGGATCGGGGAAGATTGTGGGCACCTCCGGTGTGGAGTATCCCTAGCACCTGCACAAGCGTACACCTGAAACTTTGTGACAAGGTGTGGTCCGAGGAGCGAAGACAAAAAAATGTTATTCTAATTTCTAAGTTCTAACTATAGCAGGGCGACCTGTTGTGGCATCCAGCCATCCGATCACAGTTGTGATTCGATGGCGTGCAATTTCAGGCCTGACTTTGATGATGCTGCACTGCTTTTAACTTCTTGAGAAGGAAAAAGAACCGCAAATCGTCACAATGATGTTGATGTCTAACATAGACCCTCCTGAGGTTGCAGGTATAGATTCTGAGTCTCCTGACATATGACCCACTGCTGATCTCCTTCTTTGTTCTTTTCAAACTGGAAAAAGTTAAGTTAAACCACCAGAACCTCTTGAGGCACTTTTCTTCTACCCTCGAATTACCCTGCGCGCCAAAGAAAAACGAATTGGCGCGGCCTCCTTTTGCCCGGTGCCGCCAGCCATTTTGCTTCGGAGGCTGAGACCCAAAAGTTGTGGCGCGTGCATGAAAACGCCCCCGAAATGGCCTGCGCGCCAAAAAAAAAATGAATCGGCGAGGCCTCCTTTTGGCCAGTGCCGCCAGCCATTTTGCTTCGGAGGCCAAGCCTTAAAAGTTGCGGCACGTGCACGAAAACGCCCCCGAAATGCCCTGCGCGCCAAAGAAAAATGAATCAGCGAGGCCTCCTTTCGGCCGGTGCCGCCAGCCATTTTGCTTTGGAGGCCGAGCCCCAGAAGTTGCGGCGCGTGCACGAAAACGCCCCCAAAATGCGCAATGCATGGGCGAAGTTACTTGGACACTCGTGATCGGCTTCTTCGATCAACGGTTCACGTTCACGTCTGATCCTTGTCAAAGTCTGAGAGATTAGAATTCTGAACGCTGATCTGGCACGAGAAAGCTGTCTTTACACTGGAGTCATCTTGAGTGTCGAGAAACGTTTCTTTTCTTTCTTTCTTTCCTTTTTCCTCTCTCACCCTCCGAAACTCGGGACCTGATGATGATAACTTCTTTTCACGAATGAATGAATGATACTATTCGAGAGTACTGTTGTCACCTCTTCTTATGACCTGCTTTCACTGAGTGTTTTTCACTAAGTGTTTTTCACCAAGTGTTTTTCACCAAGTGTTTTTCACTAAGTGTTTTGCATCTCCTATCCAAGACTGATGATAATTCAGAACTCTTTTCGTGTACGTGTTTGATTTTTCTTACGTGTTTGATTTTTCTTACGTGTTTGATTTTTCTCAACTTGAAGATCCTGTATTACTTGTTTTTCTCTTTTCCTGTGTGTGTTTCTTTTGTAAGTTTTGTTGTTCTCGAGTTAGAATTGCACACGCAGCAGAAGAACATCTTGATTTTTCAATTGTGAGTCAGCTCATGATGTTGGGACAATTGCAGTTGTCTGCACATTGTCTGTACACTGAAGGGCTGCCGGCCGTTACGTAACTGCCCAACGAGAGGCCATTGGGCCTCTTACCTTCTCAAGCAGTCAGTCGATTTTGGACAGAAACTGTTTCGAACGCACTTGAGGGTCATGTCATCCTCAAAGCATTGCACATATTCTATTGACATCCCTCCACTCGTGTGTAATATTTACATCTGACCCTGCATGATTCGGCTGACGGAAGGCGCATTTACACTTCTTTCGTCCTACCCACCTTGTCCTCCCTGCATTTGACACAGTGCTGGATGTGATTTCATCCTGGAATGAAAAAGGACCACCAGCACGAGATGCTCCGATTTGAAGTTCCGCCTTCATTATCAACTGTACTGGTACTGCTGATCCACTACCATGTCAATGACCGACAAGTTGCGACAACCAATGATTGGCCTAAAATTTGAGCTTGATCCCGTTCCTAGCCTCCTAGTGGATTTTCACGTCGACGGTCCTATGTTGCCAACCGCATAAGCCACATAAACGTTCAGAAAGGGATGTGTAGCATGGTAGCATGTACCCGGTCTAGCAGAGCCGAAAACCAAGAGTGAAGGAGATAATAGCTGCGTCTAACTGTGAACAGGAATGAATAGCCGCCTTCAACTGTGAACATGAGTAGCTGGCTTTAACTCTGGAGTCTGAACTGATGGAAAACTAGCCTCTGGACAAATGCACGGGGGCATCTGCAGATCATGCAGTTGGGCAGCTGCACCCCCATCTGCAGACTTACCGTGAAGTCTTCACCCGAATAGAATGCCCGGTCATTAGAGCTGAATTTGGGACTACTGGCAGCCAAGATAGAACCTCAATTCGGGCGAAGACGATAGTGTCCTGTATTTCGAAGCCTGGGTGGGCCACCCAGACAGGAGTGAGGTATCTAGCAGTATATGAGCGACGTTGGCGAGAAGGGTGTTGCATGAACACTTGCTCATGACTCTGAACACTCTTGTGTACTTCTTCCAGAGGTAATGCCCCCTGCGCATTGTCTCCTTGTCTCTACGTGGGGAGGGCACATTGTCTACTTGTCTCTAGGGGGGGAGGGCAGTTTATGCACTTTCACCTTGAAAGGGAAAACCATAATCGAGTAGGACCTCACAAGAAAAGAAAAAAAAAGTCTAGTGGTACTTGCATGAACACTTGCTCATGACTTTGAACACTCTTGTGTACTTCTTCAGAGGTAATGCCCTGTGCATGGTCTCCTTGTCTCTAGGCGTGGAGGGCACATCGTCTCCTTGTCTCTAGGTCGGGAGGGATTGTCTCCTTGTCTCTAGGCCGGGAGGGATTATCTCCTTGTCTCTATGGGGGGAGGGCAGTTTATACACTTTCACCTTGAAAGGGAAAACCATACTCCAAGGGCTAGGGCCACACGATAGGGTAGCCATGGCTCTGCAGCAACCGAGTATGAGAGTGGCCCGTGGAACTAATGGTACTCATGGTACTTATGGGACTTAAAATCCAATGGGTGGGCTAAGCGAGGCTACAGCGTCCAGAACTGGCGTTGAAGCCAAATGACAACTCGAGAGAAAGCTGTTGGAGATATGTGCGAATTTGCAAATTTTAGAACCGGAAAAGGAAAAGCTTGGGAGAGGAAAAATGGGTGGGGAGATAAATGGGGGGCGATGCGAAGGTGCCAATTCTCAGACTCTTAAACAACCAATACGTCCGAGCCTTCTTTTACAGACCTGAAACCGTGCTGCACGCCAAAGAAGAACAAACCAGGACAGACGTGATGTCTTTTCTCTTTGGCTGGCGGCGACAGTCATTCTAGTCCAGTAGCCCTGAGCAGCGAAAGTTGTAGATGTGTGCAAATACACTCGCTTTTGTTTTTGGCCGGGGGGCGTGGAGTGGTGGTTTTGAGGATCTTCGTAGGTATGTCCTTGGCCGATGGCGCTTTGCATCGCTCTTTTTTGAATCCACTACCGTCTTCCCCCAACACAACGCACTCTGATAACGAATGTATACAAGCTATGTTTCCGGTCCAGTGCAGCCAAAATGAGGTTGCATTGTGTCGAGGGGACGGCGGCAGTATTAAAACAGAAGAAGAAAAAGAGGAAAAGAACGACGGCCTTGAGGTTATCATCATCCTACTGACCGACCGCAGATAATTCAGAATTTCGGAGTCATGTCATTCATCTGAGTCCAGCAGGATAATGCCAGGATTTGAACTCAGGTCTGTTTGTCAACAGTTCATCTTGGGTTATCATCATCCTACTGACTGGCCCCAGATACTGATCATAATTCAGAATTTCGGAGTCATTTCATTCATCTGAGTCCAGCAGGATAATGCCAGGATACAGAGAAGATTAGCATGGCCCCTGCGCAAGGATGGCACGCATAAATCGAGAAATGGTCCAAATTTATTAAAAAAAAAAGGATAATGCCAGGATTTGAACTCAGGTCTGTTTGTCAACAGTTCATGGGTGCCATTCAGCCAAATGGGGTCAGCAGGACTTGAACTCAGGTATGGATTCACTTTTCCAAGGTTTGATGCTTGGCAATCAATTAATCACTTTTTCATTTTTTTTTATTTCCGAAAATCTGTTTGCATCATGCTGATGTTGACATGGTAGAGTACTAGTTGATGAAGCAGAGCCAAGTGCACGTGGATGGAACGGTGTATTGTACTCAGGGAAGAGAGTCAGTTGAGCGTCGGTCGAGAAGTTATGAAATGGATCTGCCTGGTGTCTATTGCTCTGTCACAGGAAGGCTTTGCACACCAGTACAACCATGATGCGATCCTTACCTGCTGTCTTGTTTGTTGGTTGTTTGCACGCTTGCGATGTTCAATCATTATGATCAAACAAATGATGAGCAGATTCTGCGGCTGTGCTTCCCTTCCAACTCCTGGGCGGCAAAAGAGCAAGAAAACTCAGGTCGGTATGTATGCAAGCGTGTCGCTTACTGCTGCTGCTACTTCTTCATTCCTCGTGCCTTCATTTTTTCATTCAAATTCAAAATGACATCTGCTCTTCGAGCCACCTCTCTTTTTTTTTTCCCCGCGCGTCTTCGGACACTGTTGACCTGCCAAACCCTTTTTTTATTCGTTGAAAAAAAAAAAAAAAAAAAAAGAGGGCCACTGCCTAAAGATATCACAGATATCATAGAACCGGCCAGCCCCACGTAATTCAGAATTACTTTATTTCATGCATCTTGTTCCGTCTCGATTCCAACTCAGGCCCTAGGCTACCAGCGGGGCTTCCCGGGTCACCCTGTTTTCCAGGACGGCCCGGCCATGCAAGGACCAGGGAAGGTCCGAGCAAAAAAAAAAGGAAAAAAAAAACGAAAAATCCGAAAAAATCTATGTTATGCCGAAAAATAAACTGAACAACTTTTACCTCAGGGTCACATGGAAATCCTTTACCAAATTTAAAATCAAATTAAAAAAAAAATATATATATATATATATATGTACGCACGGAGGTCCCCGGGCAGACCTCCATACGTACGGGCGTTCGGGGTCCCGTACGGGGTCCGAACCCGATGGCGTTCGGCCCCCGCCAAAAATTATTTCGGGGCCAATTCATTTTTATTTTTTTTTCTGAATTTTTTTTTGTGAGTTCTGTATGCCCTGAGGTACATGCCTATAAATTTTTCAAGTCATTTGGCTTAGCCAAATAAGAATTAAAAATCGCCAAAGATGGCGGTGTCAAAACGTGCTCACCCACGTTTTTTTTCACTTTCTACTTTTTGTTTTCACTTTAGTTCGGGGTCTAAACAATTTTATTATTTTTTTGAAACTTTTTTTGTGGGTTTTGCATTATGTGAAGTGCACATCTGTAAATTTTCAGGGCATTTAGCTATGCCAAAAAAAAAAGAAAATCTCCAAAGATGGCGGTGTCGAAAACGTGCTCGCGCACTCACTAAATTTAATTCTTTTTTTATTTTGTTATTTTTATTATTATTTTATTAGTATTTGTTTTTCGTATTTTATTTTTATTTCAAATTTGGTAAGGAATTTGGATGTAATGCTCAGGCAAATCTTGTTTAATTTATTTTTCTTCATAA